TGTTTTTCTTTTTAAAGACAGGGTCTCACTCTGTCACCCAGGCTGGAGTGCAGTGGCACAATCAACCTCCCAGGCTCAAGTGATTCTCCCACCTCAGCCCCCAGAGTAGCTGGGACCACAGGTGTGAACCACGGCTCCAGGCCTCCAAAGCCTTCTTAATGTATTTTGTGGGCTTTTGGCCAGTGACTTCACTAGAATGGCTCAAGTAACTGTCTGAAAGCTGACATCGTTACCCTCTTGTAATTTGTGTTACAATGCTAACTTTCTCTACTAGCTGTCATTTGTCCACCCTGAAATGACACTTGGGGACTAACTGTGCAAATCCTGCACACGTAGGGAGTATGTGATTGATCCCTTCTGTGGAATGAGTGAAGAATTCCTGGAAGGTCGCTCTTGTTCAAGGACTCCCCCACCACCTGACACACACACGTGCACACACACATGCGTGCACACACATACACACATGCACACACACACGCACACATGCTCTCCAGTTCAACTGCACCCAAGTCCCGCCTGCATTCATGCAATATTTACTGTGTGCTGACGCTGTCGAGTATTATGTGAGGCATGAGCAGCAGAGATTTGTACCTGGGACTAAAGATTTCCAGGTATTCTCTTTTTTATTTAAGACAGAGTTGCTCTGTCGCTTAAGCTGGAGTGCAGTGGCACTGCAACCTCCGCCTCCTGGGTTCACGCCATTCTCCTGCCTCAGCCTCTGGAGTAGCTGGGATTACAGGCACCCGCCACCACATCCAACTAATTTTTGTATTTTTAGTAGAGACGAGGTTTTGCCATGTTGGCCAGGCTGGTCTCCAACTCCTGACTTCAGGTGATCCACCCTCCTTGACCTCCCAAAGTGCTGGGATTACAGGTGTGAGCCACCGCGCCCAGCCGTATTCTCTTTTTAAAAGTAGGTTCAACTGGGATAGGCATCACATAAACCACCAATGCCCTGTGATTGGTGTGAATCAACTTATGAGATTGCTCAAGGTCACCAAGCCTGGAAAGGGTGGTGTCAGGATTCCTACCCAGGCTGTCCGGCACCATAAATTCCAAATGAGTGTTCCCTGTTGCGTCTCATTTTGGGAGGACGCATGTGGGCTGCAATCATCCTCCTGCTCCCCAAACATGTTTGGAGTCACCTTCTTGGAAATTCCATTAGAAAATAAAGGACTCAGAATCTCACACCAGTAAGCAGCTACTATAAATGAATCCCTTCTCTCCCCTTACCCCAGCCTTCTCATTTATAAAATGAGGAAATTTGACCCAATGTTTCGCAAGTTTCCTTCCAGCTCTCATAATCTGTGATTTGGACGTCTCTGCTTAATCACAGCACTTCCATCGTCTCGGGCTTGGATTCTGTGCCTTCTCTGTCATGTGGGGATATTTGAACTTGCCCAGGCTTTCTTGCTGGGTCATTTACCACATGAAATAATGGCTTTGAAAATGTGACCAGTTGTAAAGTGCTGGATGGACGTAGGTTAGTCTTGTTACTTTACGGCATCCAGTCTTCCGGCTGCTGCTACTTTCCACAGCCTGCAATTCCGTTTTTGTTGTTGTTGTTGTTTGTTGTTTGTTCAAGACAGTCTCGGTCTGTCACCCAGGCTGGAGTGCAGCAGCGTGATCTCAGTTCACTACAACCTCCGCCTCCCGGGTTCAAGCCATTCTTGTGCCTCAGTTGCCCGAGTGGCTGGGACCACAGGCACATGCCAACACATCCGGCTAACTTTTTTGTATTTTTGGTAGAGATGGGGTTTTGCCATGTTGGACAGCCTGGTCTCAATCTCCTGACCTCAAGTGATCTGCCCACCTCAGCTGGGATTACAGGTGTGAGCCACTGCACCCAGCCAAACTGCAAATCACTTTGAAGTCCAATTAATAAAAATATATTGGGCTGGGCATGGTGGCTCACACCTGTAATCCCAGACCTTTGGGGAGGCTGAGACAGGAGGATTGCCTGAGCCCAGGAGTTCAAGACCAGCCTGGGTAACAAAATGACACCCGGACTCTAAGCGGGGAAAATATATGTGCGTCTGTGTGTGTGTGTGTGTGTGTGTGTGTGTGTGTAAATAAATAAATATATATACACACACACACAAACATATATAAATGTATTGAACGTCTACTTCATGCCTGTATTTTGCCAGGCTCCAGAGAAGCACATAGATGCAGTGTTCAAGGAACATACATTTGTGTGAAACAGACACAGGGACAACCCACTGAATACATAGAGAGGCTGCCAAGGGAACTGACCAAAGCCTGAGCCGAAGCCTAACAGCTCGCCCTGGGTGAGACCTAAAGGATGCTGGCAGGGCTGGAATTGTATTTTTCCAAAGATATGTTGAAGTCCCCACCTCCAGCACCTGTGAATAGGACTTTGTTTGGAAATAATTGCAGGTGTAAAGATGAGGTCATGCTGGTGTCGGGTGAGCCCTCAATCCAATATGTCCTGCATCCTTAGAAAAAGAGGGTGTGAACCCCCAAAATCTGAGGCAGATCTCACTTAACGTAGAAAGTTTATTTTGCCAAGGTTGAGGACACACACCTATGACACAACCTCAGGAGGTTCTGACGGCATGTACCAGGGTGGTAGAGGCACAGCTTGGTTTATACGTTTTAGGGAGATGTGAGATATCAGTCAATATGTGTAAGATGAAGACGTGTGAGATGTTCAGTCCAGAAAGGAGGAACAGCTTGAAGTAGGACGGGCTCCCAGGTCATAGTTAGGTAAGAGACAAATGGTTGCATTCCTTTGAGTTTCTGATTAGCCTCTCCAAATGAGGCAATCAAATATGCCTTCCTCTCAGTGAACACAGGGATGATTTTGAATAGAATGGGGGGCAGATTTGCCCTAAGCAGTTCCCAGATGACTTTTCCCTTTAGCTTAGTGATTTTGGGGCTGCAAGATTTATTTTACTTTCACAGGGGAGACATTCACAGAGGTGAAGACATGAGGATGGAGGTGGAGATTGAAGTGATGCATCTGCAAGTGAAGAAATGTCGAGAATGGCCAGCAACACCCGACCCTGGAATAGGCAGGAGATGCTCCTCCATACCTGTTGCAGAGGGAGCTTGGCCCTGCCAACGTCTTGCTTTTGGACTTCCTGTCTTCAGAATGATGAGACCATACGTCTCTGTTTTTTTGTTTTGTTTTGTTTTGTTTTGTTTTGAGACGAAGTCTCACTCTTACTGAAACTTCCGCCTCCCAGGTTCAAGCATTTCTCCTGCCTCAGCCTCCCAAGTAGGTTGGATTACAGGCGCATGCCACGATGCCCAGCTAATTTTTGTATTTTTAGTAGAGACAGGATATTACCATGTTGACCAGGCTGGTCTTGAACTCCCCACCTCAGATGATCCGCCACTCAGTTGTGTTTTTTTTTCTTTTTCTTTTTTTTTTTTTTGAGACGGAGTTTCACTCTTGTTGCCCAAACTGGAGTGCAGTGGTGCGATCTTGGCTCACGGAAACCTCCACCTCCTGGGTTTAAGTGATTCTCCTGCTTCAGCCTCCTGAGAAGCTGGGATTATAGGCATGCACCAGCATGCCCAGCTAATTTTTGTATTTTTAATAGAAATGGGGGTTCAGCATGTTAGCCAGGCTGGTCTCAAACTCCTGACCTCAGGTGATCCTCCTGCCTCGGCCTCCCAAAGTCCTGGGATTACAGGCATGAGCCACTGGGCCCCGCCTTGTATTTCTTTGTTAAGGCAGCCACAGGAAAGCAATATCAATTCATAGGAGCCAGATACACGAAAAATGGGGATTAACCTGAAAGAATCAAAAGGATCAGACCCCAGTATAAGAATGTTTATTCAAGCAGGAAACAGAATAGCCATTGCGGTAACCCAGACTCCAAAGAAATGGGTTTAGTGGAAAGTTAAGATCTTGCTCATAGAGGCAGAAAACAAACAAATGTAGCAAGATTATAACATGTTTTATACAAGGCTTGTTTATTAATTACAATTTAATTAGTTACAGTTTATTCTCTTGTCTGTACAGCTTGTTTCCTTTTCCTTTCCAATTTAAAAGAGTGTAATTAACATTCCATCTTAAACAATGTAATAGCCATGGAGTTTTTGTCTGAGAGAAGAAAGAGGGAAGTTAATTTATAATGAAAATCAACAGTTAAAAGGAAAAGAGTCTTCCCTGGCACTCTTTATTAATTTACAACATTTACAAAACAATGTAGGTAAAAGGAAGAAGGCTAATCTGTAATCAAAGAAACAAAGGTTACAGATGCCTAGGTTACAGATGCCTAGGTTACAGTTGCCTAG